GACAGAGTCTCACTCTGTCACCAGATTGGAGTGTAGTGGCGTGATCTTGGCTCACTGCAACCTCTGTCTCCCAGGTTCAAGCAATTCTCCTGCCTCAGCCTCCCGAGTAGCTGGGACTACAGGCACATGACACCATGCCCAGCTAATTTTTGTATATTCAGTAGAGACAAGGTTTCACTATGTTGGCCAGGATGGCCTCAATCTCTTGACCTCGTCATCTGCCCGCCTTGGCCTCCCAAAGTGCTGGGATTACACATGTGAGCCACCGCTCCCGGCTTCAAGCAGTCATAATTTTATCTGTTTCCTAACACCCAGAGTTCAGGTTCAATAATATTATAATTAACAAATCTAAAATTGCCAGGAAAAAAAAATTGAAGTGCAAGTCCCTCTAATGTATATAAAAAGCTGGCCTGCCAAATTATAGTGTTGGTATTAAAAGAAATCACAGTGCTTATCTAAGCTAATTCTTCTCTCTTCTTTCTCCTCACATTATACAGATAGGGAAATTAAGAATCAAGGAGGTGAATTACCCTAAACTTTGTGGAAAATAAAACAGTGGTAGCACCAAGGCTAGAATCTTTCGGATCTCCTGACTCCCAAAACAGTGCTATATAGTATGTTAAATACCACCCCATAAGTAAATATCATGAAAAGAATTCCTGGAAAAAGTAAAACTAAAAAGTAAATCTCATAAAATGAAAAAATACCTAAATATAATCTGGCAAAAACACAATAACAACTTTTTTTAAAAAGTTTTCAAACATCTCAGCTATAATAACAATGAAAGGCAAATAAATAAAAGAAGAATCTCTTAAACAAGGAATCCACTTCAAAACTTTTTAAATGCCTGAATACATACTTGAATTTGGAGTGGGTGAATCATTAGTTTCATTAGCATTTCCTGATCTGGTAAAACAGAATCCAAATCTAGTTCTTGACATTTCACAGCCTAAAATTATAATTAAAAAGTTACTAATTCAATTCTTATTTCTGAAAATTAAAAAAAAAAGAACAGAACTCTTTAATGACAGTCTTACCTTACTCAAAAACATAGCATAGTAACGATGTAGTGGCAGATGAAAAGTGACTTGGTTAGGTGCTGGCTGGAACAAACAAACAAAATCCATAAGTCAAAGACTATTTTACAGAAATTTTAAGATGGTTGTAAAATGTTTAAACCATACTCTCACCTGGATTTATTCCTATACTTTAAATTCAAAACTTAACATTTTAGAAGATGCAGATTCTAAAATCACTACAGATAAAATTATCCCATTTTAAACACTTAAGCATAAGTTTCTTAAAGGCAGAAATCGTATTCTACTCAACTTTGAATCCTCTGAAGCATCCAGCACAGATTAATATTTCCTAAATTCACTTTAGCCAAAGCAAATAATCATTATTAAAACAAGGGATGGAATGGATTTCCAGCTACAGAGACCATTTGGGACTCTTCAAATGCATGTATACCAAACATCATGACAGTAATAAGAGTAACGGTCACACATAACATTCATTGAACACTTACTATGTGCCAGTCACCATGCTAAGCACTTTATTCACATTATCACATTTAATCCTCAGAAGAATGCTATGGAGTAGGAACTACTAACATTCTCATTCTACAAGTAGCAAAATTCAAACTTAGAAAACTTAAGTAACTTCCTAAAATTCAAAAGTAGTGAACCGGGGAGCTAATCTGGACTCCACTGTCATATTCAAAACAGTAAGAAGACTCTGACCAAATCCCTAAACAGAGGTATAAATGCAGCGCATCGTTAGATTCCTTCACCAGTTGGATAAGATGCTTCCAATCAGTACCAAACAACCAGCCTCTATACAAAACTTCGTAAAAAATATGTGAATGACGTTACGCATTCCTGTAAATATTACAAAAACTGTATTTTAAATCTGTGAATCCCATGGATCACAAAATTACTACAGGGCAGGGCAAAAATATACCACAGCTGTCCTTCTTAAACAAATGAGTTAAAAACTAAAAAGGTGTTGTTTGCTTTTAATGCTTTTTAAGTTCTTAGTAAATATTCTCTTGTTAAAAATTTTTATACCGGACATTCAGATAATTATGCTAATGTCATATCATTATAGAGGTTATAAGGAGTCTAAATATGTCACCATCCCTGAAATAATTATTTTTTTCAAAACCAATAAGATAATAACATCCTCCTCAATATGTAAAGGCTACAAAAATGTGTTCTAACAAATAAAAGTTTGCCCTCCATAAAAAGAAAAGAAATGATAACAATGTTCTGTAACATGAATAAACCTTGGGGACATTATGCTAAGTAAAATAAGCCAGTCACAAAAAAACAGTAACTATATGATTCCACTTATATGAGGTTCTTAGAGCAGCCAAATTCATAGAGATACAAAGTAGAATGGTGGTTGCCAGAAGCTGGGGGAAGAGGAAATGGGGAGTAGCTGTTTAATGAGCATAGTTTCAGTTTTACAAGACAAAAAACTTATGGAGATTGGCTGCACAACAATACAAATACACATAACACTACTGAACTGTACACTTAAAAATGATTAAGATAGTGAATTTTATGTTTTATGTGTATTTTGCCACAATTAAAAATAAAATTTTAAAAAGTCTGCTCTCCATTACCATAATCATCTTAGTAACATATTCTACACTAACTAGCTAAGTCAGAATCTCTCTCTATTTCCTTTGAGGCATTAAGCAGACTGGGTAAGTGCAGACTCTTTTTTTTTTTTTTTTTTTATAGACAGGGTCTTACTCTGTGGCCCAGGCTGGAGTATGATGGCACGATCACAGCTAGCTGCAACCTCCACCTCCAGGGCTCAAGTCATCCTCCCTGCTCGGCCTCCTAAGTAGCTGGGACTACAGACACACACCACCATGCCTGGTTAATTTGTGTATTTTTTGGTAGAGACAGGGTTTTTGCCACGTTGCCCAGACTGCTCTCGAACTTCTGGGCTCACGTAATCTGCCCACTTCAGCCTCCCAAAGTGTTGTTATAGACGTGAATCACCATGCCCAGCCTAAATGCAGACTCTTTTTTTGAGTCTCGCACTGTCCCCCAGGCTGGAGTATAACGGCGCAATCTCAGCTCACTGCAACCTCTGCCTCCCGGGTTCAAGCAGTTCTCCTGCCTCAGCCTCCTGAGTAGCTGGGACTACAGGCGTATACTGCCACACCCGGCTAATTTTTGTAATTTTACTAGAGATGGGGTTTCACCATGTTGCCCAGGCTGGTCTCAAACTCCTGACCTCAAGTGATCCACCTGTCTCAGCCTCCCAAAGTGCTGGGACCACAGGCGTGAGCCACCGTGCCTGCGCCCTAAGTGCAGAATCCTGTCTCTGCCACCTACCTGTAAAACTGGGCAAGTTGCCTCTCTGTGCCTAAGCTGTCTGGTCCTTAGAGTAGGAATAATAAAGAGTCGGGCAGCTGCGAGAAATAAGTAAAACAGCACAGTACCCAGTACATATTGCTATTAACTAGTAAGCCATGAACTCTATTTTATCTTTCAGGGCTTTAGCATATCCTATATTCACATTCTCCATAATGTTAAAGTCCATATTCCTTCCTTGTCTAATATCACAGACTGGCTACTTGATAAGCGCTTCTTCTATTCCTATATATACTGATAGTCCTTGGATTCCATTCTTCACTCTACAGTCTTCTCATTATATGTGAATTTATCCAGATACACAGCTTCAGCTGCTAACTCTACCCAGTTGACTCCCAAATCTCAGCAGAAATCTCACTCCTGAACTCCAAATCTCACTTTCAGGTGTCTACTGAACATCAATACTTAATATTCCATGGGACTACAAATACAGTGTGTTCAAACCAAACTCAGTATCTTTGCCATAAAACTCAATCCTCCTCAATATTTCTTCTCTAGATTCCCAGTAATTTAAATATGAAATGTAGACTTCCTCCTTCTCACAAGCCTCCTATATTTGATGAGGTATCAAATTATGTTTACTTATTTTTTAAATAATCTCTTAAATCCCCTTTCTTCTTTCTGTCTACACTGCACCTAACTAACCTTAGCTCAGGCACTCAACACCTAGAGCCTAGGTTTCAGTGATAACTGCTACTTCTACTATTATCTTCCATAAAACACCTTTTGTGGTGTCTGCCTAGCTCACAAGCTTCCCATCTTCTCAGAATGTGTCTCCCTTTCCCACTCTCTGCCACCTCAACCACACACAGAGATTGGGGCCTGACAGTCAAGTTTATAGTAGCCATATTTGACTGCAGGCAGGGCAGGGGACATCTGACCCAGCCTGAGCAATGATTTTCTCTCTTAAAAAATTGGAACTGGGATTCAGGGACATTCACAGACAATCTGGGAGTATGCCTGAAATGGTAACATTAGGTAACTATAAGAAGGCAGTATTTCACCACATGGACAAAGTACGGGAAGGGAAGAAAAAATGAGGCACATACACACAGGGCAAAGCAAAGGCAAGCGACAAGAGCTCCTATTCAGATTTCCAGTCCATCCCTGAGGTCCAGGTGCCCTAACCCTGAGACACCCCTATGTATTAATAATAAATGACTGCTTCTTTAACTCAGGCTGCTTTAAATTATTTTTTCCCTTGCATTAAAAGAACCTTGACTAACATATCTTCTATTACCCGCTATATGCTGCCAGAAGGTGGTCTTACTTAAATATTAATTTAATCTTGAACTTCTTCCACTCACAATCTTTTAATGACTCCCTATGGTTTTAGCCTCCTGATAACCTTCCAACTCCTGAGAAGAAACAGCTTACCTCTCCAGCCTCATCTGTCACACAAATTCATGCACCATAGGTACTGCCCCTAACTTACTAAGCTTCTGTGCCTTTGTATATACACTATTCCCTCTGCCCCAAATGTTATATATCCCTTCTCCCATTGGATTAATGTATCTTTAAGACTGCTCGGTTGACACTTCTACTAAGAAGCTTTTCTTGGGTTCTTCAGGCTAAGTCAGGTGCTCCCTTTTATCCTCCTACATGGCACCTGGTCACAACTTTACAGAAGCACAGGAATCAAATTAACCATACACTTGTCTTCCACTTCCTTAAGTTAGGGACTGTTTTACCACTATATCCCCTATGTTTACAACATAGTAAACATTCAATAAATATTTGCTATATGAATGCATGTTCTACTTTCCTCTTACCAGAGGACTCTAGCCAAACCCACTCTGCTACAAATTCACAATTGTTGCCCTACATGATATTCATATTTTTAAGAACTCTTAAATGGCCTATCTTATAGGAAAATGTATTCCATCCCCTGTTTCTTATGATTGATTTGGCTTACTTCAGTTCAAAACATATTATTGGCCAGGCACAATGGCTCACACCTGTAATCTCAACACTTTGGGAGGATGGAAGAAGAACTAATGTTTATCACACATGTAATATGTGCCTCTTAGTCAATCCTCACTGGTTAATGTTACCAACTTCAACAGATGAGGAAATGGGCTCAGCAGGGTTAAAAAAAAAAAAAAGTAAAAATATATTAAAAATTAAATCTAAAAAAATCTATCCAAGGCCACATAGCTAGTTAAATTATGGCAGAGTCACAATTTACACTCAAATCTGCCTGACGTTAAAGCTCTTTCCACTGCCAACAACCAATATAGTTAAAACACTACCAGACAAGGAGTTCCAAAATGTGGACTGTGGACCCAGAAGTACCATAATTTGCTACATAACAATAGGCAAGTCATTTAATGTCTCTGCATCTCCACTTCCCAATGACAAAAAAGAGGAGGAATAATAAAACCTTTAGCACCATATAAAAACATGACATGGGCCAGGCACAGTGGCTCGCGGCTGTCATCCCAGAACTTTGGGAGGTCAAGGTGGGTGGATCACCTGAGGTCAGAAGTTCGAGACGAGCCTGGTCGACACAGTGAAACCCCATCTCTACTAAAAATACAAAAATTAGCTAGGCATGGTGACACAAGCCTGTAGTCCCAGTTACTCGGGAGACTGAGGCAGGAGAATTGCTTGAACCCAGAAGGTGGAGGCAGCAATGAGCCGAGATTGTGCCACTGGACCCCAGCCTGGGCAACAAGAGCAAAAACTCCATCTCAAAAATAAATAAATAAATAACATATTATTTGATTCCTTAAGTTCTATCCTTAATTTCTACTTTTTTAAGAATCCATTTAAATTTTTGAGAACATTCAATATCTTCCTAAAAATATTTCTGTGTGAAAAACAAATACACTATTTCCTAGAGTTCAGCTGCTCTGTATGTCATACATGATTCTAACTGTCCTTCACTATACTCCTGATTCCAAGCATGATTAATTTAAATATCATTTTCTTTTGTATAATTTTCCCCCAGTTCAATCTTACTGCTGCCTTAGTGATGCTACTATTTCAACAATAACTCCTGAAGTTTCAAACACCAAAGAAAGCTGGATTGAGAAAAGCTTCAGTTAAAGCTCCAGCTGAGGGACTGACCCTGGACAGGTTGAAGAAGGAGGGAAGCAGGCTGGAAGTGGGATGGAGCTCCATGAAGGCTGGAGAATATTCTCTCTGAACACTGACCTATTACCATTTATGTAAACAGAATTTAAGCCTAAAGACCAACAATTACACAAAGCAAAGAATCAAGATGAGCTGGTCAGGGCAGAATCAAAATCCAAATGGACAAAATCCAGGTTGAAGGCTAAGAGCTGACACAAATGTTGGGGGAGGGGTAATGAGAGGTAAAGAAAAATTAATTCAGGAAAGGAGGGATTAGAATTAAAGATAACAAAGGGTTCTTCCCTTCCTAAACCATTCCTAAAGCCACTGGAAGGTAAAGAGAGGGAGCATGGTAAAATAAGCATCTAAAGGTTAGGAAACTGAGAGGGAAGTCAGAGCTCAGACTGAGGAGGGCAACTGTTGGGGGTAATCGAGGGGTTGAGATGTCAGGGGTTGCTCAGGCATAGGGGGTGTGGCCTAGCACAGGGCATCAGACGTGGACAGAGTCAAAGGGGACCCACACAGCAGGGCAGCCCAGTGTAGAGCATCAGAGCCAATCTGGGTGAGGAGGGCCTCCAAATGGGGAATCACAGCCTGACTGAGGTAAGGAGGGCAACAATACAGAGGGCCAGCCTGGAATAGGGAATCAAAATCCAAGCTGGGTAAGGAGATTATCCACATGTGCAAAGAGCCCAGCAGGAGGCATCAGAGCCAAGGCAGAATGAGGAGGACATCCAAAAACAGGAAGAGCCTGGTGCGGGAATTTCAAGCACAAAGAGGGTGAACAGGGCTTCTCCACAGAAGGGCAGTCCAAAGTGGGGAGTCAGAGCCCAAGCAGGATGAGGAGGGTGTCCACGTGTGGGAAAAGGGGTACTAGGATGAGGACTCAGAGTCAAAGCAGGGAAAAGAGGCATCCATGCAGGGGAAAGAGAGGCAACTGAGATGAGAGTCGCTTCTCATATTTATATGTGAGATTGGTCATAAATAAATATGTATTTATAGATAAGTAAACATATTAAAGATAACGGAAGCCAGGTTTTCCACTATTGAAGAAAACTAGAATAAATCCTACGGTGTTAAACTTGAATTAAAAATATCAGTTTGAACTCATAGATTTCACTGTAGACAAAAAAATAAATATAGATGCAAATATGTATATGTACTTACATACATACACTCCTCTGTTCACTGTGAAGTCCTGGGAGCAGTGATACACCAATAGCAATGAGCACATGTAGCACCTAGATTTTTCTAAATATTGTTCCACACTAAAAGTAACCAGGGATCCATAAAGAAATGATTGATTCCAGGAATGGATGGGGAAACTATGAGTCTGAAACATCCTGATGGGCCAGAAAACATGGAAGTTCTCAAAAAATGATGGGACAAGCAGAAATTAAGCTTAAAGGGGCTCTCACTGGCCAAATCTGAAGCAATTTGAGCATCAAATAATGACGGAAATAGCTTATAACCCATTGAATAAAATGGAAACTATGAATCTCTAGAGACAAAAATAAATGAATGAATTAAAAACTGGATCACAAAATACTTTATTAATTACATGAGAAAAAGGGTAATTTTATGATGAAAGAGTCTAGCAGGTACCACCCTAATCAAGTGATCAAAGGGAACATCATCAGTAATAGAACACAAATCACAAACCACCAGATAGGATGCGATGAAAAGACTACAACATCACTTCTGTAATATTCCTGAAAATGATACATAATCTGAATCTAATCATGAAACAAACTCAAACTGAGAGGCATTCTTCAAAATGTCACTGTCCTGGCCAGGAGCAATGACTCACACCGGTAATCCCAGCACTTTGGGAGGCTGAGGCGGGTGAATCAACTGAGGTCAGGAGTTCCAGACCAGCCTGGCCAACATGGTGAAACCCTGTCCCTACTAAAAATATTAAAAAATCAGCTGGGTGCGGTGGCACGCACCTGTAATCCCAGCTACTCAGGAGGCTGAGACAGGAGAATTGCTTGAACCTGGGAGGCAGAGGTTGCAGTGAACGGAGATCACACTCCAGCCTGGGCAACAGAGTGAGACTCTGTCTCAAAAAAAAAAAAAAAAAGTCACTGTCCTAAAATGCAAAGAAAGACTGGGAAAATGTCTCAGAAGGAGATTAGAGACATGATAACAAAATGCAAAATGCAATTCTGAACCAGATCCTTTTTCTATAAAAGATATCATGGGACAACTGATAAAACATAAATGAGTTATAAGAATTAAATGTTAATAATATATTAATGATTTTTTATAGTTGCATTCTGGCTATATAAGAAAATATCCTTGTTTGTAGGAAACACTTAAATGCATGGGGGTAGTGAGGCATCAAGTCAACAACTGAACTCTCAAATGGTTCAAGAATAGAAAGTTCTTTGTCCACTCAATTTTCCAATAGATTTGTGATTGTGTCAAAAATTTTTAAAACAGAAAGGGAAAAAAACACACATACACACAAGAGATAAAATTTGCCTACCCTCCACATATACACAAACACACAGCAATGTTCTGTGTGCCCAGGGTTCAGAAACCAGACGAAGTGGGGGTGAGCTGTCTGAAACATGGTCTTTCTTTTGCATATGGCATATTCTGACCCTGCTTCATAAGAGGAATAGAAGGAGCTTCTGATGGTAAACTTGGCTGACTAATAAAAGCAATTACTTGTTCAATTCATACATACCAAGTCCTGTGCCAGCTCTTCTCATTATTAACAATAATCACCTTTGTTCAAGCCCATCTTTTCCTACTCTGACAAGCAGAACACTGTCCAATTAATAGAGTTGTGATACCCTTTTCATTAATCTCCCCTATCCTATTCACACTTGCATTGTCACTTTTATATATTCAACTGAAACTAATTTTCACTCAATAAGAAATAATGAAACATATATACTTCATAATGGAAAAACAAATCATGCCACTCTTCTCTAGGAAATAAGCAGACATATTAGTGTGCTCCAGAATCTCCTAAATGTCAAAGAACTAAAGAATTAGTCTCCCCTTTGGGTTTCTCTTTTTCAAAGCCTAATATGTTCATTACTTCCTCCCCTCTCCTATGAAAAGGTATTATTTTCAACATTAAATGAAATCTAACACTTTTCTTAAATGTCTTTACATACATCAGAAAATATACATACCTCATCTACGAAGTTAATAGCATCAAACCAGTCTTGAAGAGCTTCAAGGCAATATCTAACAACATTTCGGGTATATTCTTGAGTTTCCTAAAATAGTAAGTTATATATAATAAATGTACAATATATAAACATATATTTTCAACATTAAATTATATGTAATACATAATCATTATATGCATTGTATATACATAAAATGGTAAAACGTAAACATTTTCAATATTATATTTGCCATTTCAAGAAACTGTCCCTTCATAACCAACCAGTGACAAATATGAAAATTAAATAAGTCGATATGCTTCCTTTTTTACAATATGTTTCTAAAAATGAATGAAAGCTGAAATAGATTTTAAATAGATTTAAATCAGACTCCATTTCAGGAGACCCCCTCCACCAATTTATTATAAATTCCCTAATGTCATTGTTTAATGGGTACAGAGCTTCTTTGCAGCTGATGAAAAAGTATTGGACATGGACAGTAGTGAGAGTTGTACAACACTGTAAATGTACTTCAAGTCACTGAATTTCACAGCTAAAAATAGTGGTAAATGTTATGTATATTTTACACAATTAAAAAGAAAGGGCAGAGCATATGCGGACTGTAAGTAACCTGTGAATACCTTGACTTACAACAGAATTAGGGAAAAGACATGATGTGTGTGCCACTTGAAGTAAGAGTACTGTAAAACACAACTACAATGTTTTGTGGTAAAACGGATCCACCAAAATAGGTGAGTTCCAAATTAAACAGAAATAGAAATAATGATAGGCCTGCTCACCAAAAACAACAACAACAACAACAACAACAGGCAAAGGATTTAAAAAGACATTTCTTCCAAGAAAATACACAAATGACCAATAAGCACAATCAAAGATGCTCAACATCATAGGAAAATGCAAATCAAAGCCACAATGAGATACCACTTCACACCAACTAGAGAGGCCATAATTTTAAAAAAGGAAACAAAGTGTTAGGAAGGATGCAGAGAAATTGGAATCCTCATATACTGCTGATAAGACTGTAAAATGGTACAGCTGCTTTGATAAATTGTTTGCAGCTGGGCACGGTGTCTCACGCCTATAATGGCAACACTTTGGGAGGTCAAGTCAGAAGCATCAATTGAGGCCAGGAGTTCAAAACCAGCTGGGACACAGCAAGTCTCTGTCTCTGCGAAAAAAATTTAAAAATTAGTCAAGAGTGGTGGCATGCATGTATAGTCCTATCTACTTGGGAGGGAGGCTGAGGTGGAAGGGCTGCTTGAGCCCAGGAGTTTAAGGATGCAATGAGGTATGATCACGCTACTGCACTCCAGCCTGGGCAACAGAGTGAGGCCCTATCTCAAAAAGAAAAAAAAAAAGTTTGGCAGTTCTTTGGTAAGTTAAATATAGAGTTACCATACAACCAAGTAATTCCACTCCTATGTGTATTTCCAGAGAATTGAAAACATATGTTCACACAAAAAATGTACATAAATATTCACAGAAGTATTATTCATAGCAGCCAAAAAGGGGAATCAACCCAAATATCTATCAACTAATGAAAGGACAAATGAAATGTTGTATATCCATATGATGAAATATTACTCAGATAGAAAAAGGAATGAAGTACTGAGACATGCTACAACACAGCTGAACCTTGAAAGCATTACATTAAGTGAAAGAAGCCAGACACAAAAGGCCACATATTACAGGATTCCATTTATATGAAATGTGCAGACTAGGCAGACTTATAAAGACTGAAAGTAGATTAGTGATTTCCAAGAGATGAGGGGAGGTTGGAATTGGGAGGTATGCAATTTCTTTTGGGGGTGATAGAAATACTCTGGAATTAGATAGTGGTAGTAGTGGTAAACTTTGTGAATACACTGTAAACCACTGAATAGTATATACTTTAAAATGGTTAAATGGTGAATTTTATTTAAGTTAAAAAAAGATATTTTGGGGTATCAATGTATAATGTGTAAGTACAGAAAGCATCAAAGCCACGTGGGTTAAACTCATCAGCTACCTATGTAAATAATATAAACATGCCTTTTTAAAAAGCTGAAAGTCTCACATTCATTCTTGACTTCTCCTTCACCTTACTCATCTCCATGTCATGTCAATTCTTGCTTGATATTATCATATAGCTTCATGCCTATTTCCATTGCCACAATACAGACCAAAATCACTTACCTGGTCACCTTACTAACATTCTCATCCTGTTTTAATCTATGCTATATGAGATTTATATTTATAAAATATTATTTTATACATTCTATTCCACACCTCTCACTGAAAACAAATTAATGGCACTTATAAGTTTTCATAAATAATCTGTCATAACCAAACTAAAGCAGCAGGTAATTCACAGATAAATAAACTTTTAAAACCAAATGTTCTCCTATTTCATCAAGCATTTGGGCAATGGGGTACCATTACAGGATCTTAGTGCAAATGTAAACTGGCACCACCTACTGGAGAACAATTTGACAAGTAGGTACTAAGAGTCTTAAAACGGTGACCAGTTAATTCCATTCATAAATACAGCATATTTCATAATCATGTTCTGATTGTCTCTCTCCTATCTTCCCACTACTACCACTCCCCAACCCCCAAAAAAGTCAGTATGCATGCTAACTTAGTAGTTTTATGACCTTGAGCAAATTACTTAAATTTTATGAGTCTCAGTTTCTCCACATGTAAAAACGGGCATAATACAACCTACTTCCCAGTACTGTCCTGAAGAGGCAAGTGAAATGATGTACATAAAATGCTCTGTATCATAGGTTAACACTATGTGTGACAAGTAATTAAGTGCTCCAAAGAGTCAAGACCACATTAATCTTTTATCAAGTCTGTAGTACCCTATAGTTGCCACCGGATGAAGATTTTGCAGTTTAATTTTCTCCTTAGAAAGCAAGTATCAGTAAAATTCTAGAAACGTGTCATCCTCTTATCCAATCTTCATGTCATTAGTTAATTAGCATTAAAAGTATGATGCTGTACTGACTGAGCTATCTCAGTAGTATTACTTTTTTTAACTAGCCCTTAATGTTTTCAAGAATCAAATAGCATTCAATGCAATCATACAAAGACAGTAATTTATCAAGTGAAGTTTCCTTTTAAATTACTTAATCCTTAAGTTTTATATTTTACAGTAGAAAATTTAAACAGAGAAATAACATTTTTTTTCCTATAAACAATAGTGTTTCTTCTAGTTTATACTTCTAAACCCTGACAGCACTGCAGCTAAAACGCTTTGGACATTCTTGCTTAAAAAACAACTATAGCAAAGTGATAAAGAACATTGGTTTTTAAATCAGATGAATGTGCTTTCAAATTCAGTGTCTACTTATAGCATGTGAATTTAAGCAAGTTATTTAACCTCTGAAAGAACAGAATGATGCCATGTACTTTAGAGGAGATGCAATGAAGGTTAGATAAGAATATATGAAAAGTGCCTAGAACAATGTCTCACATAGTGTAAGTGTTCACCAAGAGAATGTCTTATCTAGGAACCAGATGCTCCTATAACTGAGAAGTTACTCTCTGATACTGCCAGGACAACAGGAGCCTGTTTTCTCTCTGTTCTCTTTATTTCATAGATTAGGAGAACCATACTGCATTGTAATTCTAGCCTTCAAAGCTGAAATATGAACTACTGCCCAGAAACAATAATTTTTCATTATCAAAGAGATAAACATAACCTCAGCCTCATAATTCAAATTCATCTTTAACACAGTAGTCAGAATAATCTTCTTAAAATATTGATCTTTTTATATCAATATCATATCAACCCACTTTACTGAGTATCTTCTGTTGGCTTACATACATGACATGGCATTCTTCTGATTTTTCTCTTCTCCCTATCCTTAATATCTAAATGTCAGTTTTTTCTTCGGGGTTCACATCTCTCTTCTCCCTATTTAATCTCATTCCATCCCTTGGTGATAAATATATTCTATATGTCAAAGGGTCTAGAATGTATAACCTCAGTCCAGACTTACTTTTTGAGCATGAGACTCATATATCCAACTGTCTATTCTCTATTTCTACTTGGACATTTCACGGGCATCTCAAACTTAACCTATTTAAAGCTAATTCTGATCTCTCTAAACTTGACATTCTCTCAATCTTTACTACCTTTGTAAATAGCACTTCCATACACAGTAACTCAAAAGTCTCTCTCTCTCATCAATAATGTACAATCCATCACCAAGCCTGTAGATGCTACCTCAAAAATACATCTTGAATATCCAAAATACACTTTGAATATATATATATCAAATATATATGCTACCTGAATTTCATGTTCAGACTACTGTCATAGCATCTGTTAGTTGACAAATAATAACTACATTTATTTATGGGGTACAATGTGATGTTTCCAGATATATATATATGTGTATATATATATATACACATACACACATGTACATACATACATATATACACATATATATACATACACACACAAGGATTGTGGGATGAGTATATCAAGCTAATTAACATATCCATCACCTCAGACACTTATCATTTTTTGTAGTGAGAGCATTAAAAACCTATTCCTTTAGCAATTCTGAAATGTAAAATACATTATTATTAACTACAGTCACCATGCTGTGCAATAGATTTCAAAAAGTTATTCCTCCTCTCTAGCTAAAACTTTGTACCCTTTAGTCAAAATCTCCCCATTTCCCACTCCCTCAGCCCCAGTTTCTGGAAACCATCATTCTACTCTCTACTGCTATAAGTTCAACTTTTTTAGATTCTACATACAAGTGAGATCAATTTATCGTAGCATCTTAATTGGTCTATTTACTCCTGGCTTTGCTGCTTCCCACCCACGCTACTCCTGCTCAAATCCAGTCTTCTCCAGGAACAGAATGATCTTTTAAGGGTAAATCTGATCACATTAAACCCTTGCTTAAAAATCTTCAGTGGTTTCTCCTTAAAATTGAATCCAAGAGTCCTTAACATGATCTGTGAATATCTGCAATAATAATCTGATCTGTGCTTCTCTCTCCAACTCCACCTTGTTTACTCTGTGGTTCCAGCCACAAATTCCTTAAAAAGACCAATCACGGCCGGGCGCAGTAGCTCACGCCTGTAATCCCAGCACTTAGAGAGGCCGACGCGGGCGGATCATGAGGTCAGGAGATCGAGACCATTCTGGCTAACACGGTGAAACCCTGTCTCTACTAAAAAAAAATACAAAAAATTAGCCAGGCGTCATGGCAGGGGCCTGTAGTCCCAGCTCCTCGGGAGGTTGAGACAGAAGAACGGCGTAACCACCGAGAGGCGGAGCTTGCAGTGAGCCGAGATCGTGCCACTGCACTCCAGCCTGGGAGACAGAGCAAGACTCCGTCTCAAAAAAAAAAAAAGGACAATCACTTTCCTACCGAAGGTAGGCTATTCCCTCTAATCTCCCGCGCGACTACCACTAACCCCAATTTAACCTTCACAGAGATAGGCCCTTCATATTGTCTCTTCATAAAGACATTCTCTGATACTCAAATCATCAGTCCTCATACTCATTACTCTCCCTCATAACAACCTGTTATTTTCCCAAAAAGCACTTTACGAAAGCTTGTGAAGTAAACAGATGTGTTTACTTACTCAAGGTTTATCTCACCCATGAGAGCAAGAACTGTATCTATTTGGTTCAGTACCAAAAATTTAAGCATCTAAACAATGTCTGGCATATATTTTTTGAATAAATGAACAAACAAACCTCATATTATATGACAGTTTCTTGATAAATGCTACAGTGGAAATTAAACAAGGTACATTATGAAAACAACCTGACTGGAGGAATAAATGAGTAGATTATATATCTGAGTCTTCAGAATATTTGAAGAAAACTTTAAAATTTCAAAGAGTTAATATTAATTGTTCTTCATTTTGGTTAGAATCACTACCCAGGTCCCACTGCATATCTAGTGAATCAAAACCTCTGACAGTGGGGCTCATGCATACATAATTTTTAAGCTTCCAAGATAACTCTCATGCAAGAAAAACACTGAGCCAACAAAAGAGAATGAAAGAGTGTATGCCAAAGAAAGAGACTAGCTTGAACAAAAGCACAGGAATCAAGAAAGGACACTGCACGTTGAGGAATAATAATCAATCCAATAAAGGTATGGAGGGAGAGGTGGTATAAGAAGATGAATTATAGGCTAAGGTGGGCAGTTCACCTGAGGTCAGGAGTTTAAGACAAGTCTATGCAACATGATGAAACCCCGTCTTTACTAAAAATACAAAAATTAGCCAGGCATGGTGGTGCACATCTGTAATCCCAGCTACTTGGGAGGCTGAGACAGAAGAATCACTTGAACCAAGGAGGCAGAGGTTGCAGTGAGCTGAGATCGTACCACTGCACTCCAGTCTGGGCGACAGTGAGTGAGACTCCATCTCAAAAAATACAAAATAAAAGATAATGAATTATGAGAGCCAAGTTGAGGGCAACCTGTGGAGAATTTTAAATGTCTCTAGAAGAAAAATAGATGTTATCCTATAAAGTGATGAGAACTTGAATGATTTTTAAGTAAAGGAGAGGGAGATTTATAGAGCTTAGAAAAGTAAGTTTGGTATTGAGATAGGTGACAGTAGAAAGAGTCTAGAAATAGGAAAACCAGTTAAGAAGTTACCTTAATAATCCACATTTTTAAAATACATTAATAATCCATATTTTTAAAATACAGAGAAATAAAGGAAAAAAACAGGAGAGGAATATTTCTGGAATGAAAGAAAGATTCTTAGTATCTGATTACAGGTTGAACACAACTAGTACAGCAAGGGAAGAAAGTTTCCAGAATGGACAATTAAGTAATTTAAGATACCATTAAATGACAATAAGGGCACAAAAGGAAATATAGTATGGACAGATAGTTTTTAAAAGTTAATTCAGAACCTGAGAAAATTCATGTACCTACAAGGGGATCTACATTAATAATCAGACCTGTTAGAAATTTGAACCGGACCAACATGGTGAAACCCTGTCTCTACTAAAAATACAAAAATTAGCCAAGTGTGCTGGTGCACACCTGTAATCCCAGCTACTCAGGAGGTTCAGGCGGGAGAATTGCTTAAACCTGGGAGATGGAGGTTGCAGTAAGCGGAGATGGCGCCACTGCACTCCAGCCTGGGCGACAGAGAGAGACTCCCTCTAAAAAAAGAAAAAAAGAAATTTGAATCTATTAAGACTGTAACAAGGTTGTGAGTCATCTGCATCTAGGCAATGGTTGAACTAACAAAACACAGTATAAATCTACTTAAAGAAACACATACGTTTAAGTGGTAGATGGAAGAGAGCTTCACAATAACAAAGAGCAAGACTTACTGTCCATTTCTCTTTCACTTTGTTTTTAAAAGGTCAGTAAACAGACTGAGAAATTCAAATATTTTTAAATGAGCTGACCAAGTCACCCAAGTAAAAAAGAGGCAGAGCCAAAACTAGAACCCAGGGCTTCAAAATATGTCTACTACAAAATCTTGTCCAGCATGATTACTGGTACAGGACAATAGGCTGGAACTGCATGGTGTCCATATATCAAAATTTTAGTCAAGTCTTCAGTTTAATAGGGTCAGGGATTCCATTTGTCTGGATTGCCCAAAGTTTCTGGAGACCCATCAAACCAATGCTTATAATAGTATATATTATAATATACATTATATAACAATCACTGGAAGGTTTTTGAAATTTATACTTGTTTTGTCCTTGGAATCTTGAAAGTGTAACATTGAGGACTATCCTACTCCTTGAAAGATAAGAAGCATTAGGTAACTGATAATAAATGAAACAATAAAGATGAATGGGAAGACTAATGAAGTTCCAAAGACTGTTCACAATAGCAATAGGCTGGAAAAATCTGATAATAATGAATTCCAAACTGCCTAAGAATGAAAATTACCGTCTCGGGTCAATTTTCATAAAGTTGAATTCAATTTGAAACAAAATTAAACATTACACATTATATATAAATGAACAAACCAATATTTTTCACAAGTCTTTTTCTTAAATAAACACAGAAATTAACAAAAATATTTCCAACATACCCTAACTTTACAATGTGATAAAAGCCCCCACATTGGCTGTGCACAGGCCTCAAGTTCAGCAGCAAAGGCAGCATAGTAGGTCTGAGACTCAAATTCCACATGCTCATTTAGTTCTCGCTTGTTTAAGTTCATACCTTGCAAAAATTAAAGCAGATATAAACTTTGTCAAGTGGAAGCACACATTCATATTAAATATCAAGTACAACAGTTCCCAGTCCCAAACACATTTATGCACACAAACGGCATTACTGACACAGTACATACAGAAGCAAATGACTAAAAATGAAACAATCTAGTCCTTTCAGAATTTTTTACAAACTAAGTTTTCTTAGAAACATGTTATGAATTGTCTCATGTAACAAACTGAATATCTTTTAATAAGAAAGTCAAAAAAATTAAATTTTTTTTTTTTTTTGAGACGGAGTCTCGCTCTGTCGCCCAGGCTGGAGTGCAGTGACCGGATCTCAGCTCACTGCAAGCTCCGCCTCCCGGGTTCACGCCATTCTCCTGCCTCAGCCTCCCGAGTAGCTGGGACTACAGGCGCCCGCCAACACGCCCGGCTAATTTTTTTGTTTTTCAGTAGAGACGGGGTTTCACTGTGTTAGCCAGGATGGTCTCGATCTCCTGACCTCGTGATCCACCCGTCTCGGCCTCCCAGTGCTGGGATTACAGGCGTGAGCCACTGAAAAAAATTTTAATTGATCTTACTTGAAAGTTTTATGTGTTATGAATCTTTCTCAGAGAATAGATTTCACATTTCTAGATTAATGGTTACAAATGCTTCAAAGCCAGGCACAGTGGCTAATCCTGGTAATCCCAGCACTTTGGGAGGCTGAGGCAAATGGATTGGTTGAGCCCAGGAGTTCTAGACCAGCCTGGGCAACATAGTGAGACTCTGTCTCTACTAAAAATAAAAAAATTAAGTTAAATTTTTTAAATGCTTAAAAAAGTTATACTCCCGTTTCTTTTCCAATCATTTGACACTTTTCCTAATTCCTTGGTATGTTTTATGAACAATTTATTAGAGTACTTACAAATACCAATTAAAATAGAGATATTTCATATGTAGTCTGAATGATATGCTATTATATTTTAATTGATGCTTAATAATTTAGCATTAGGAATTTTGTAAACCAAAAAATTAACAAAGGTACCAGTAAAATTCATACCTTGAAAGAAAGATACAAAGTTCATCCATGTAACTAACAAACCGTGATCCTCCAAAAATCTCTTGGCCACACTTTGATGAGAAAGAATATTAATAAAATCACTAACAAGAGGCCAATAAGTGTTATTCTTCAGTAATGCTTCTCCACAGTTCACTACCACATGTAAACTATTTTCTTCATCTAAAAAAAGACATACAAAACCCAAAAAGTCATAAGATTTTTTTAAAAGCTTAACAAATAATACAGAATACATACACTTTAGAATCAGATATACCTAAATTCAAACCCCAGCCTTCCATTTAATACCTATATGGCTTTAGGCACAATATTTACACTCTCTGAATCAATTTCCTCATCTATAAAGTGGAAAATAAAAACATCCATCTTAAAATAATTACATGAAGCATTAACAAAAAGTACTTAGCACATCATTATAGTAATTATTACCATATGTCCAATATATGACATGATACTGAAGTAGCTGTATGTTTATAAAAACTTATTTTCTTGATTCTAATGATATAATGCAATATTTTCTGATCCAATCAATAAAAAATTTTTACCCCTAGATTAATCTCATTTCATCTTATCAATCAAATCTGTATGATTTCAAGAGACATACATTTAATTCCTTTCTTCTATTCAAAGAATACATCAATACAATTTTTAGCAAACTACTCAAAGATAAAAGAAAAAACACATTTTAAAAAAAGAAAAACACACACACACACCAACTTCTTAAGCTGTGGAAAAAAAGTAGTTTAAATACATCGTTGGGGGTGGTGGGGGGATAGGCTTGTACAAAATATTTAGCATTAAAAATTATTAGTATATATGTATTAGCTCACTTTAACCTATTCCAACTTCACTGACTCACTGGACTAGGAAGTTTCCATTCCCATTGTAAAGCATATTAATACCCATAATACATGGAATGCTCAAGGCTCGTAGCTCATTCCCTGTACAGAAGCTGGGGTGTATGGTTACCCAGAGTCAATTTTTGTTTCTATTTATGCTAATTGTTCTTTTTATCATAATTACACAATTTAGATCAAAAGTATATGAACTAATGGCATGTGAAAGCACAGAGAGGTATTACAGAAACTGAATCATATGCTTTTGAGAGACAATAAAATAAAAACAAGTGCCAGGAAAAAAAGCTAAAAAACCTTGGGACAGAAAAATCATAAAACCTATAAGTATATTTTACACTCAGATTGCTTTATATTCTAACTCTATTTTAAAGAGATTAAAATTAGAATCCACAGATGATGCTTCATAGATGTGCTATTTATAAAAAAGATGAACGAGAACTCCAGTCAAGGAAACCATATCCTGAAAATACTTTGCCCAAAGTTAAAAGCCTGGAGAATGAACACGCAGTTCTGTGTTTTAAGTTAAAATACAATGTTTAAGGTATATATATATTTTTTCAAAGATGGGGGTCTCACTATGTTGCCCATGCTGGACTCAAACTCCTGGGTTCAAGCATTCCTCCCACCTCAGCCTCCTCAGCAGCTGGGATTACAGGTGTGTGCCGCCACACCCAGCTCATACCATTTTTTTAAATGAGTCCTCACTTTAACCAACTTATTCAACTACCTACCTACCTGTCATACTCATCAGTCAGGAAGGCCTCTACTGCACTTTTTAATTTCCACACATTAAACTTAGGTTTCAGTCCACACAATTATTTTGCGAAATATTAAATAAGTTTAACAATATCTAAGAACAGGGCCCACTGAAGTTAAGTACACTCTCTTTCAGTACTTCTCAATGGACAAGGGAGGGTCTAACTCAATGAGGAAGTAAGGATTAGGGGCTTCTTACAAATTATTTATACTAACCCCTGAGATTCTGAAAAGCACCCCCATGACTGACAACTACAGTTCCACTTCTGAGCTAGTGAGCCATTGATATTGATGCGACAGTGCTAAGGAATGTTGGGATTTTTTTTAAGTTAAAAATTGAGAATCACTGTTGTATATAATTGAAACCAGAGGATGAATAAGCAGAATATAATTAATCAAACTCACTATTTTCCTAACATTGCTTAAATACTACTGTTCTTGTGAAAAACGCCTTGGAATCATTAATGAAATAAAATTATTAGGACTTCTATTTTTACTCAAACTGGTACTTTCCTCATTACAGATATAAAGAGCAATGATTCAGTGTTAAATTAAATTCACTCATCAACAAATATTTATTGAGCACCTACTAAGGGTCAGGTTTTCAACTAATCTCTGAGAATAAAGTAGTAAATAAATCAAGATTTAGATGATCTCTGTCTTCATGGAGATTAATACCTAAGAAGGCAGAGTGTGATAAGGGCTGTAACGGGAAAAGTACAGGGAGTCATAAGAACAAATAGGCCGGGCGCGGTGGCTCAAGCCTGTAATCCCAGCACTTTGGGAGGCCGAGATGGGCGGATCACGAGGTCAGGAGATCGAGACCATCCTGGCTAACACGGTGAAACCCCGTCTCTACTAAAAAATACAAAAAACTAGCCGGGTGAGGTGGTGGGCGCCTGTCGTCCCAGCTACTCAGGAGGCTGAGGCAGGAGAATGGCGTGAACCTGGGAGGCAGAGCTTGCAGTGAGCTGAGATCTGGTCACTGCACTCCAGCCTGGGCGACAGAGCAAGACTCCGTCTCAAAAAAAAAAAAAAAAAACAAATAAAGCTAGACTACAATTCAAGAAAAGACTTGGCTGGGCATAGTGGCTCACACCTGTAATCCCAGCACTTTGGGAGGCCGAGGTGGGCAGATCACCTGAAGTCAGGAGTTCGAGACCAGCCTGGGCAACGTGGTGAAACCCCCACCTCTACTAAAAACACAAAAATTAGCTGGGCATAGTGGCGGGCACCTGTAATCCCAATTACTCGGGAGGCTGAGACAGGAGAATTGCTTGAACCTGGGAGGCGGAGGGTGCACTGAACCGAGATTGTGCCACTGCACTCCAGCCTAAGTGACAGAGCAAGACTCCGTCTCAAAAAAAAAAAGACTCTCCTGAGGAAGTGAAGTTTAAACTGAGGCCTATAAAATAAAGCAGGAATTAGGATTAGCCAGATAAAGTAGTGATGGTGGAGTAGATGGTGCTATAGGTAGAAGGAGCAGTACATAAGAAAAGGTTAGAATCACTTGAAGAAAGAATGCAGAGGATGCATGGTACAAATGAGGTTACAGGGTCTTATAAACCAGCATCCGAACTTTAGCATTCACATGAAGAGAATGGAAAGCCACTAGGGGGTTTTAGGAGAGAGAACATTATAAGAAGTGTAATATAAAAAGTGACTGAAGGAGAGTGACAACAAGAAGAGATAAGAGGCTTAGAGCTGGCCATGGCTTCAACTGTGGTGGTGGCAAAAAGATGCAGTGATGAAGAGGCTATGTAAAGATATTCTAAAGATTTGAAGGACAGTTGGTAACGTCTGCTATATCTGCATGGAGTAAAAAGAAGTCAAAGACAACTCCTAGGTTTTTAGGCTGCACAACTGTTTAGAATGGTTAGACACTGGAATCAAAATACACATTCACGTGCTCATGTACATACACACACACACAAGTTAATGTAAAAGAAGTCAGATTAATGGAGCAATAATGAGTCTTTGCTGTGAACATTGTGTGTTTGGGGTGTTTATAGACATCCAAACAATATAGTTCAATAAGTAGCTTGATATGCAGGAAGGAAAGGCAATCTGGGATTATGAGCATCTACAGACATTCCCATGTCATGCAACACATGGTTTTAGATTCCATTTTACAAAGACTGTTTCAAAAGACAAATTCTAACATAAATTCTGGGACATGAAAAATTATGAGCTATGTTTGGAACCACAAAGCATATGGTATAATATTGAATATAAAAAAGTAAAAGTATAAGGTAGAAATCACGTACTACTATAAGGCTGTTTCCCTTTAGTCTTCAGCTATTGCTGTGGCCAAGCAAATTCTCATTGTATCAGCTCCTGTATTTATTAAAAGTATAGATAAAATTTTAAAATATCATCTAACAACAATTCAAGCCAAGGCTAGATAGAGGCTGCTAAAAAACAAAAAGAAAGTACAGAGATCCTGTTGTAGTATCTGTGGCTAGTTATGGGTAGTTCAGTATAGTTAAGGTTTATTCTAATACTTACTGTAAAAATGGGAAAAGCTTATGATACTTTTAGAAAAGCAGTAAATATATATCATAATATCTTATGCTACTACTGAAAGAGGAAAAAATAGTATGGCAAAGTTTGAAGACTTCTAAAGATAGTTTTAGACCTTGGCTGGAAATAATGTAATTTACTGCTAAAAAAAAAATTATATTTAAAGATCTTAACAATCTTTATTTCAGTTTGCTGAAAATTCAATTTATATAAGAATTTCCAGAAAAGACTAACTGCATTAGAAGCATATGGAAAAAAGCAACTGATACCATATAATATCATTTCAGAAAAATCTGGGAAAAGTGTGAAAAGCAGAGCCACGAGGACAAAGTGCCAAGAAACACCAATATTGATAGGATAAGTAGAGAAGAGTGCTGGGCCACAGAAAGAGAATCAACAGTGTGAAATGCGACTGAAAATCAAGCAAGGTAAAGTTTAAACTATGACCACTGGCTTCCTCAACATGTAGTTTACAAAAAGGGTAAACCACATAATTTATCATATAAACTGGGACACTTTTGAGCGTAAAAGAAATTGTATTAATAACTACATCAGACTAACAGGCACAACTTAAGGCTATTCTCGGAAAACTAGGACATATGGCTACATGAGTCACGGACAATTTTGTAGACAGCAATTTCAATAGAACAATGGGAGTGAACACTAGAATGAGGTAGGTTAATGAGTGACTTGTAGGTAAGGATATGAATATAAAAACTGAGGAAAGCTACCATTTAAAAAAAAAATGGGAGGCAGATTTAAGACTCATCTTGTTCCCAAACATTCTCCCTTAAAGGCCAAATGCAAACCGTATGTAATAAGCACAGCTAAATCACCTGGTGAAGAAAATGGACTCCAGATTCTTTTAAAAGAACAGGTACTTAGAAATTTTGTTTTCTCAATTATGAATTTAAAACATTTTGCTGCAAAGACTTCATGACTAAAACACCAAAAGTAATGGCAACATAAGCCAAAATTGACAAATGGGATCTACTTAAACTAAAGAGCTTCTGCACAGCAAAAGAA